TTTCATCATAATAATGCCACTTCTGCAAAAAAGACCTGATCCTTAGGTATGGAGTTTTGAACTTACACATGTCTCTGAGGGATATGATTCAACCCATAACACTCCCTGGTCCTACCTATCTGAGAGTTTGTAGCGATAGGTGTTGACTTTGGTTGTATAATTATTCTACATCAATCCATACCATCATATTGTCTTTCTTGGCCTGTCCATAAAGTGCCTGATGTAGAAATATTTGTCTCTATATTCACAATGGACTTGGGTCTGTCGGTTTTGGGTTTCTTTCATGGGTTTATTCTGGCACCAACTTTTCTAGTTTCATGGCCCCATAAAACCTGCTTCATGAAATGCATTGTGAATTGTTCCCTGTTCTTCTACTTCCTGGAAATCTTTGTATACAGTTGGTATTAATGCTTCTTCCAAAGTGGTAGAATTCTCCAGTGATCTCATCTACACTTGAAGATCTTTTTGGAGCTCTTCCTGTGAGGAACTTAATTTCCCTGATGGCCACCCAGCCATCTAAATGTCCATGTTCTTATGGTAACTCCTGCTCCTCCAGAAATCGTCCATTTCATTCACATTGAACAGGTTTGTAGAGTGTCACTGATATTAGTCTTCATGTTTATTTTTTTTCTCCTTGTGCTGGTTTTGGGTTTATTTTGATCATCATTTTCTGTTTCTGAAAGTAGAAGTTTAGATTATGGATTTGAGAACTTTCTACTTGTTAACATAAGCATTTGATGCTATGAATCTCTAAGCAATGTTTTCATTGCATGCACAAACTTTGATATGATGTATTTTAATTTTTGTTCAGTTCCAGATATGTTCTCAGTTTTTCCTTTCAATGGTCAAAACATATCTTAAAGAGCTCAAAAGGAGAAAAATAACATCTTCTATTTACCCACATATTTGTTATTTGTTTTTTATTTTTCTCTTTATCCCTGATGCCCAAGTTCCTTCCAGCATCATTTTCTGTCTGTCTGAAGAACCACCAATTATTTTTGTTAACAAGTCAGCTGGCTCTTAGCTTTGTTTTATATGAAGATGTAATTATTTTTCCTTCCTTTCTGAAGAACATTTTTGATATATGAGACTTTGGTTTCCCTATTTTTTCCTTTGTTAAAAAATGTTGCTTCGCTGCCTTCTGTCTTACCTAATTTCTGATAAGAATTCCACAGTCGTTTAAATGGTTCCATGTTTGCCAAAATGGTATTGTTTTCTTCTGGTTGACTTCAAGTGTTTTCCTTAATCCCTGGTTTATAAGTGATCCATGTGTCTGGGCATGGACTTTGGGGTTCTCCTACCGAGGTTTGCTAAGCTGGTTAAGTCTGTAGATTCACGTATTTCACCACATTTGGAAAATCAAGTCCTAATTTCTTTCTGTGGCATACTGTATCCTCTCATTTTGGATCCCTGATGACATTAACCCTAGACCATCTCCTAGTTCCTGAAGCTCTATTCATTAAAAAATAACAAGTGCAGCAGCAGCAACAAACTTTTCTTCTCTCCATTGTTTGCTTGGAGCAAATTCTGTTGATCCATCTTGAGGTTCACTTCCATGGGCTTCCCAGCACCCTATGCATGGTGGCCCTCAGGGCTGCCATCTTGCTCTCACCAATCACTGAAACCTGCATCTGTTCAGAGTCTGTGAAGATGTTTGTCACTTTTGGCTTTCTGGAATGCTACTCATAAACTCCTCTGAGTTGTGGAGTCGCACTGACCCAAACATCCATCCCACTCTCCCTACAACTGACCTGAGGGTTTCTAACTCTTTATTTGGGCTCACTTCACTTTACAAACTTCAGTGTCCCTAGAGCCCAAAGAAAAGAGCAATTCCACATGGGTGCACTTGGCTATGATGTCAGTAGCAACCCTGAGAAGGTTTAACACTTCCAGTTCCTGAAGCCCATGTGCTCTCTCCCTAGGACCTCTAGCAGGAACCAAGAGGAGATTCTGGGTGCAGAGGCTGCATGGCATATGGTGAAGCACCCAGCCACTGCTGCAGGCAGGCCCACCCCTGGATACTAGGCTCCCCTCTCGCTTCCCTGAACATGGGGATGATGCCACAGAACACTCTGGAATCTCCAATGCCTTTCCAAAGGTGTTTTCTCCAACAGCTGCCACCCACCCTTTCCACACACCTCAGGGAGGGGCTTAAAGACCAGATTTCTGTCCAAAGCAATCTGCCCAAATGGAATCCAGCCTACAGAGGCTCAAAGGGAGAATCTCTGCCTACACATGGTCAAGGAGAGCCAGTCCTCACCTGCATTGGCTCTAGGCAAGTGAGTCCCCATCTAAACTGGCTCAAGGTGCACGAGTATCGACCCTGAACCGGAAAGGGAGGCACAGTGACTCAGGCCTTGGAATGAGGTCTTGCCCATCCCCAGAGGCCTCCCTCTTTGGTGTTGTTTTTGTTTTTTTCTCTCCATCTTGTTTTAAACATGACCTCTTTTATTTATTTATTATTAATCTTTGGAATATCAATTTTATCATACAATTTGTGAGAATAGAAATTTATTCAGAACCATCTCTGCTGTCCCAGAGAAGAGCAGGGCAGTGGGGAGAAAAGGAGGCATTCCCACCATGGCTGGGTCCCTTCCTGCAGCTATAACAAAGCTTCTTAGACTGGGTAATTTATTAACAATAGAAATCCACTTCCAGCCCTTCTGGAGACTGGCAAGTCCAAGGTCAAGTGCCTGGTTGCTGTGACCTCACATGCCGGCCTCCAGCTACACCAGTTCACTGACACATATGGGCATCTCCAGGTCCTCCAGGAAAACCGCCAGGCCCCACAGCCTTCAGATTGCTAGCTCTTCACGCCCTCTCATGCTCATTTTTTCTCAGATTTGACTTTGTATGGGGCTCTGTATCCATTCTATCCTTAGGAGCAGCTACAAAGGCTTCAGGCAAACTTCACCTTCTTTAGTCATCCTGGGGCCAGGGGAATCAGAAATTCAGAGCCTCAGTGGATCAGGCCCCCTTCAGTCTCAGGATGAACCTATTGGGATTATGTCAGTTTTCCCAACACCCTCCTGCCCAGGAGAGAGCCACTGATGTGCCTGTCCCCTTCTGAAGGAGTACTCAGGGTCACAGCCCAGCCTTTAACAGATTCAGCTTCCTTTCTGGGGAGTCAGGTCCAGAGACACCAAAACCGCCTACAGGCAGAGAAACCAGGGGAATAGATCAAACCCTCTACTTCTCAAAGCAAGAGGCAAGTTCCCTTTCATACATGGGTGAAAATATCAGGCCCTGTACTCAGAAGGCCAGGAGGCCACAGCTCACTCACTTATGACTTTGGTCATAAGGAAGATGATGCTTGGGTCAGAGGGGACTCTGGGCCCTGCTGTCCAAGTGCTTGTTATTTCTCTTTAGAGACCTGCCCCTAAGGTCACAAAGGAGCTGATCATCTCTGTACACCATTCCCAAGTCACTTCTTGTGTGTTTTCCATCTCCGCAAATTGACAGGAGTGATCTGAAGACAGGCAATCAAAAGGATATTTATCGTCAATGAGCATCTCCTCTCAAATGCTCATTTTGGCTCATATGTACCAAATCCTGTGGTATTTAGTCCCAACACATCTTGTCAATCAGCTTTACATTGCTATGATAAAATACCTGAAATAAATAATGTAAAAAAGGAGGAAAGATGTATTTTGGCTCATGGCTTCAGAGTTTGACCCTGTTGCTTTGGGCCTGTGGCAAGGCACCACAGCCTGGTGGGAGCCAGTGGTGGATCAAAGCTATCACCTCATGTAGGCCAGGAAGCAAAGAGAGGGAGAGGGCAAAGGGACCGAGGTTCCAACATCCCCTTTAAATGCACATGCCCAATGACCTAACTTTCTCCCACTAGGTCCCACCTCCTAAAAGTTCTACCATGTCCAATAGCATAACCTGCTGAGGACCAAACCTACCACTCATGGCCTTTGGGGTGCATTTATGATCCAAACCATACATCATTTGGAGAAATCATTTGTTACCTGATTTTGTTTGTTTGTGTGTGTGTGTGTGTGTGTGTGTGTGTGTGTGTGTGTGAGAGAGAGAGAGAGAGAGAGAGAGAGAGAGAGAGAGAGAAATAAAATGTAAGCAATGGATTTTTTTTTTTAACAAAGAAACTCCGAGATCTTAGGTAAGCTACTAATGGTCTTTATATCTTAGACTCCTCTTCTGTGAGAAGTAAATGAGATACTGTGTATATATTGATTAGGACTAGGTTTGTCTAGAACAGAAAACCCCCTGCAACAATATAGAGATCTAGTGTCATATGGTAGTCTCCAGGGTGCTGGGAGACTAGGATACCTGTCTTGCTTTTCTTCTTTCTGCTGATTCTTTCTAGCAGCTATATATACCACTTCTACTTATGTCCTATTGGTCAAAACCATGCCAGGGTATGTTATCCACTGGATTTGGCCATGTGCCCTGCTGAAATCAGGGTGTCTCTTGCTGAGAAAGAAAAGGAAGATAGCTCAGTGGTGGAGAGTTGCGTAGCATATGCAATGCCCTGGGTTCAATCCCCAGAACCACACACACACAAAATAGAACAGATATTAGGGATCAGCTAGTAGTTTGGCATAGTGCATCAAGCATGGTGACTAGTGTCTGGCATGCAGTCTGTGCTTACTGTAGTGCTGTTGTTATAAACAAATACACAGTATTTTCTGGAAATCCTATAACCACACTATCAAACACTGGAACCTTTTTTCCCTAACATGGATGTATCTTTCATTTGTTTGTGGCACATGTCCCCGTGCCGAGCACACAACAGGGCGGTTCACAGTTCTAGGCTGCACGTTGGGGGTTCTAAGAGCAGAGCAGGGATTTTGCTGGGCTTCTCCAGGTGAAGCCCCAGGAGTGAGTGCTGGGGTCAGGGATGGGAGGTCAGAGAATTTCAGTGCAGTTCTGCAGGTGACCACAGGGTCCCTGCCATGACCCCATTCCTTGCATCAAAGAAAGATATCAAAGTTTGAAGTGCAAAAGGATCAAACGTGGCTTATTCCTCTCCCTAGGTTCTCAGAGACGGAGGCTCATCCCAGCATTGTCCCTTGATACCTCCTCCCCTGTGAGAAAACCCACCACCAGCACAGGGGTCCGCTGGGTGGATGGCCCCTTGCGGAGCACCCAGAGGGGCCTCGGGGAACCCTTTGAGATCAAGGTCTATGAAATCGACGATGTGGAGCGCCTGCAGCGGCGACGCGGTGGCGCCAGCAAGGTGAGTCCATTTCCTGGAGTGGGGGCGGTTCCCCATGGGTCCTGCCCTGAGAAGGGACCTGCTTCTGTTGTGGGCAGGTGGGTGACCGTGGGCCCATCAAGTGGGATAGACACTTTGGAGGGAACTCTGTGTCCTCTCCTGAAATGCCTTAAAGCCTCACATGCTGGGGGTCACAGTGGTCTGGGGGGCTTTTCTGGCTCCTTGTCTTGAGGTTTCATACTCATGCAGACCAGCATTTGCCCAGTTGGAACACCATCTGCTTTCTCCATTTAAGAACAGCCTGCGACAGACAGTCTCCCCCGTGGCTGGGCTGTCTGGTGTACCAAGGCAGAAATCCCACTGAGGTCTCTGAAGTCCCTCCCAGACTTCCCAGGGACCAGCTCCTTTCTCATGGACGGTCCTTAGAAGTGTTCCTCTCTAGAAGAGGTCATGTGGACTGGACAGGAGCAGAAGGATCTCTTTTTCTTTTCTCTACACTGCCACTCTCCTTCTCCGTCGCTGTGCAGGAGGTCATGTGCTTTAACGCAAAACTGAAAATTCTGGAGCATCGCCAGCAGAGGATCGCAGAGGTCAGAGCCAAGTACGAGTGGCTGATGAAGGAGCTGGAGATGACCAAACAGTACCTGATGCTGGACCCCAACAAGTGGCTCCGTGAATGTAAGGCCCATGGTTCATTTCTATCACTGTGGCTAACAGGTTTCCCAGTGACAGAGGCCTGGCACCTAACCCAGGGTGACCTGGGCACACTTCATCTAGGGGCAGAGGGAGACGGTTGCTCTGAGTGAACAATCCTACTCTCCTGGGGCAGGTGGGAGGGGCTGGGAACAGCAAAGGAGTGGCGAATATTGCTCTTGCGAGATTATTTCTTATGTGTTTCAGTCCAAAGCACTTGAAAATGAGATTTTTTCCCCCCTGCATGTGGCAGATCACCCAGACATGAAGGCTGTATTACAAATCTCCTAGGCCACAAAATCACACTGCTTATCTAGCCTGAAATAGACATGAATTTATAGAGCTCTTGATAGGGTAGAATGTACGACCGTGGTAAAGCCTCACGGAGGACCCAGAAAGCAAGAGGAGCAGCCTGGTGTTATTTCCATTTAATAGAAAGCCCCAGATGACAGTAACCATCTAATAATGATTCAGAGCAATTTTGTTCTCTTTGAGAGGCGGATTCAATTGTCTCTTATTTATTTGTTCCTAACCATTCCATTTAGTGCGAAATAAAACTTAAATCTGGTCCCAACTACTACATTGATGTGGGAAGCAATCCCACAATCTGGGGGATAAAATATGCTACTGTCATTAAAATTCTCTCCCTGTTTCCCATCTGGCTCTTTTCTCCAGCCCTCAGCTGCCTCTGTCCCCTCTCAACACACCCCTCCCCTGCATGTCCCCCTCTCCCAGTGTTCCATGGCCGTGAGGAGAGCCCACGAGTGAGGTTTGAGGCTTAGATTTGTGTGCCAGAGAAGCTGGTTTTTTTAAATATGGGGTAAAATGATTCTGGGTGAAAAAGAAGTGCCAGGGTTTGTCAGATGCCCGGCTCTTCCCAGCGCCTGCCGCTTGTGACAGGTTTCTTTTCCATATAAATGGAGTAGTACCATGTCCCCCGAGTACCTCAGTGTGTTCTCGTGACCATATCCAATACAGAGAGCATCCTTTGCTTCGGGGATGCAGCATCTGTGGCTAGGCCCACAGTCCCACAAACACAGCCTGTGCCCGCAGGCACGATACGGGAAATGAAGTCCTCTATTAGAAATTTTCTTCCTTCAAAGGTATTTTTATCAAAGGTAGTATGGGGCAGACAAGACAGGACATTAGCTAATGTCTGACCAGGGCACAAACATGGAGCCTAGTGCTTATTTCTCTCCCACCTGTGGCTGCCTTTTCTTTTTTTTTTTCCATGAATCTCTGGACACTTTGAGATCCCGGGGCATCCCTTCAGACAGTTCCTTCATTTTTTTTTTTTTTTAAGAGAGAGTGAGAGAGGAGAGAGAGAGAGAGAATTTTTAATATTTATTTTCTAGTTCTCAGCGGACACAACATCTTTGTTGGTATGTGGTGCTGAGTATCCAACCCGAGCCGCACGCATGCCAGGCAAGCGCGCTACCGCTTGAGCCACATCCCCAGCCCAGTTCCTTCATTTTTTAAAAAATATTTTTTTAGTTGAAGTTGGACACAATGCCTTTATTTATTTTTATGTGGTGCTGAGGATCGAACCCAGGGCCTCGCACGTGCTAGATGAGCGCTCCACCCCTGAGCCACAACCCCAGCCCACAATCCCTTCATTTTTAACATTTTCATTAACATTTTATTTTTCAAGAGCTGTTTATGCCCGAGGCAGGCTTGAAAATGATCCTCGTCTTACAAAGCACATTTTCTCCCAGGAAGGGAGCAGTACACTTGTGTTTCAGATGCTTCCAGGAAACATCTGAAGACATTCCTTCTTGCCTTGGTATATGTCAAGAATCAGGTATTTTTGATGCTAAGAAAGAGAATGAACAGAAGGCCACATGAAAGGAGAAGCACAGATTGTTTTTCTAAGATGAGTGGAAAATAAGAATGGGGGAAAAAAATTAAAAACTATGGAGGCTGCATGCTGACTCTTCCTGTTGGTGGCCGGCAGGGTATTGGCACAGAAATACATGTGCTGGGTCCATTTTTATTTTTAATTTTTACATCTGATGCCGCTTTTGAGCTGGTCCAGTGATGAGGTCTGAGGGGGTTATGGTGTAGTGAGGTGTTGTCTCTTCAGTATTAGACAGGCATTCAGCCTGTTAGACTGGGTCTCCCTCCAGCTGTGGTCCTTATTAACTGAGTGAGTGTCCTCACAGCCTCGCTCTCAGGGATGCCCTCTGTATAAAGCAGTCTGCTTCCGTTACAGTCCCTGATGGTTCTGTAGCATGACATGGTTTTCAAATGTTTTCAGACCATGTTCACATTCGTTATCTCCTTTTTGATTTTATTCTTCTCAACAACTCGAGGTAGATAGGATCGGCAGGGTAGGAATTATAATATGCTCATGTTACTTTTAAGGACATGACACCTGCAGAAGTTAAGGTCACAGAGCTAGTGTGGAGCAGCTGGGAATCAAACGCAAGTCTCCTGCTTTGGATTCCACGGCCACTCCACCAGCCTTGGTGGTCGTCCCTGCTGTCCTCCCCATATGGGGACTCCTTGCAGCACCTCTGGAGCTAGTACCAGGCAGCCCACCCCTCTGCCCAGCCACCGTGGACATAGTAGGAAAACTGAGTCCAGGTGGGGTTGACCGCAGACACCTGCTCTTCAGAAACTGAAGGACTCAAACTTTTCACCCCCCTGTAGGCCTGAGTGTCGGCATCCTGCTCCTAAGTGTCAGCTTGGCTTCTGAGCTTAAGGAAGCTCACTTATCAATTTAGATCTATTTATCATATTTCCTGAATGATCATCGAGTACATGAGACTGCCTAGGAAGACCAGAGACAGGTCAGGTTTCTCAGCCCCAGAGGTTACAAATTGCTCATGAAGGAATATGAGGGAGAAACAGCCCCTATCCAAGGAGGCAGAGGGATTTGCCACGTTAGATCACAAGGGAAGGATTTGCCCCACACCAGCTTCAAGATCTGCATTCTTCATGGTTAGTGGAGAATAATGGCGTCATCTTTCACAGATGCTGTGGTTGGAGATGGCCAGAGGTGGGGGCAGCTAGATTTTTGCCTTATTTCTCAGAACAATCTCAACAAAATGTTAAAGATCTAAAAACTGGTAACCAGTGTTTCAGTTCACTGGCTGAGAGGCCAAGGATTAGGTAGGAGGGACACCAAGTCGCTGGAGACAGGTGAAGAGATCAGATCTGGGGACAGAGGGGCAGATTCGGGCAGCCCTGTGGTCTGGGCTGAGCAGATGGGATGGCTCTTCTTCCTGCCGGAGTCTCCAGGCCCTTCCTCTTTTGCAGTCGACTTGGAGCAGGTGCTGGAGCTGGATTCCCTGGAGTACCTGGAGGCCCTGGAGTGCGTCACCGAGCGCCTGGAGAGCCGCGTCAACTTCTGCAAGGCCCATCTCATGATGATCACCTGCTTTGACATCACCTCCAGGCGCCGATAAGGAGCGGCAGATCCCCGGTCCACCAGTCCCCTTACTCCCCAGAGGGACGTCACCCTCCCCCAGGCCCTCTGTGCTGGCGGCACCCCAAAGACTATAGAATGAGGATGAAGGTTGGTGGCAAGTCTGGAGGGAGCGTTGAGCGGAAGGCGAGTTTTCTTTTGTTTTCTGAAGTAGGGAAGGTGCAAACCCCGAACACGTGGAAGGAGAGAATGATGGGAAGCCCAAGGGACGTCAGAGCCCCGTGAGACTGAAATAAAAGCACTTTGAGGAACTTAACTTGTTTGTACATAAGAACTGCTGGCAAAGAGACCTCTCTCTTGTCGTGCTTTCGTGAGGGGGAGGGTGGATGGAGGATTGCTGTGGAAAGCGAAAACAAAACACCCACGACAAGATGACCCAGGATGACGGATTAAGTGCCTTGCAAATCTTTATGATTACCCAAACATTTGTGTTCATACTCTTCTCGTGTACAGATGGTGCTAGTCAAGACGCAAACAACAAAACCCACAGAAGAGAAAAATCCCACGCGTTTTTGAAATGTACTCATGGCTCGTTTTTCTCTTGGTGTTTTATCCTATTTCTGACTTGCTGTTTGTAAGTAAGTTGTGTTTGTAGAGCTATTTCCTAACCAGTATTGCATACGAATAAATGTTAACTGTCTTAAATGACGATTCTGGTAAGGCCACTCGGACAGAACAGAGAGACTTTCATCCACACAAGCAAATGTGTGTTTCAAAAAAAAAAAAAAAAAGGTTTTGGGAAGGCAGGTGGTGCTCAGTGCCTCCTCCCACGAGCAGCAGGTCGGCCAGCAGACCCAGAGGGCGGCTGATCGTGGAGCAGCGTGAGTGAACTTGAGCCATCAGGAGAGGAGACAGGGCTTGCATCTCTAAGGGAGAAGTTGTCCTTTGTGACCTGGGCCAGACTTCTCCATGTAGGTAGGCGTTTGTTCCATATCCAGCCCCCCATCCTCATCCTTGCCCCACCCATCCAGGGTTTTTAATGTTCCTCAAAACAAGTTCATGCTCATTTCTATTCCAAAGACTCTGGATCGAAAGCTTGAATCAATTCAGCAGAGCCATATTTGTTTGTTTGTGAGTTTTATGGATTTAATGAAGTGGCAGTGGGGGCCGGGGAGCAGGGTGGTGACTTTGAGTTGAGAGGCTTCTTCTGCTGGTACGTGCTTATAGACTCCAATCACGTTGCTGTAGAAGGAGAAGGAGGCTAGGGAGTACACAGCTTTTCTGTTATCCAGAGTCCTGCCGAGAGCAAGAAGTTCAGTTCTTCCCTGTCCCGAAGCCTGCATACCACCTAGGGACTAGGCTTGTTTCCTAAAGCTTGGCACCCAAAGGCAGAGAGACGTTCCTCCTCCCTAAATCCCACAACTATGGGCAGGCAGAGTAGAGTTGAATGAATATGAATATCCAGATCTTGGATCCCAAAACCTCATTCTCAAATTGCAAAAGTTCCCTTCAGGATTATTATACCTGTGTTAGGGACAAAAACTTGAGGCACAGATCCACCAAGGGCATTGAGGTCCTGAGAACTGTTCATCTTTGCCTTCAAATGCAGCTGAGCTTCGTGAGCCTCTTTCCAGGCTAGTTGTCCCCACTAACCAATTTCTCAGCCCAAACTCCCCACCATGGAAAATTAGCCTTTGCATTTGTTGGTTGTGCCTCTGTGTTGGTAGCCCAATATAGCTGTCTCACCAGCCAGCGGGGCTCAGCTAGGTTCTAAACAGGAACTGAATTCTTAGGAGCATCAGAGCACCGGACTTGTAACTCATCATAACAGGGCACAGGAGACCCATTAGCTCTCTTGCTTTGGAAGTCAGCCCCATGGACCAACTCCATGGGTCACGAGTCCAGCTTTGCACACTCTGTAAGAGTCTGCTTCTATGCAAATGTACCCACACAAGATCTGCCTGAATATGCTAGTTGAATGGGCTAAAATATGGTGAAAGGGGTCATTTTCCTCTTTGTGCATCCTACAAGTTAAACAAGTGTGTTACCTTAGAAGTAGAGACTCCCCTAACTCCTCAACCCAAACCCATTCTGCAGAGTTCTGGGACTCTGAGCCCACCTCTGGCCTCGCAGTACTTGCATGCATTGGCTTGCTTAACAACATTCTTGGAAACATGGACCCCAGAGGATGCCATTGCTTTGAGTTGGTTTGTTTGTCCTTTGGTATACCTTTGGATTGCTAGTTTGAAATATACCACTTCATGAAAAGCCTTTCTTTGAGAAATTTTCAAAGGTGAGTATGCCTTGTTTTTCTGTTGTGAACAAATACATTTTGATAAGTCATCAGTGAGCTTGGCTTTTGCCACTGCCACATTCTCCCTTAGCCCTGAGGTCCTCATGCTGCGGTGACTTCCTTTAGAAGGTCACTGACAGAGCCTGGTGCCTTTGCTGGAGTGAGACCAAGCAGAACAGTGAATTATCTCCTAGGGAGTGGCCTTCAGCTTGCTTCCTGCCTAAATGTGTTTATATACATTTTTAACAACTTCATGATATAACAAAAGGTTGATATTACCCACAGTGATCTTACCAAGTCAGATTGACTTCCCAAGAGATCCCATCATGGAACATCCCCAGGATCCCGTAGGCCATGGTATAGGAGAACAACTGCCTGGGAATTGTTGTCCATTCTCTTTCTTTTTTTTTTTTTCTTTTTCTTTATTTCTCATCATATTTTACTTACTTAACTGAAAACATTTTCATTTACCAAGAGTTGATAAACCATGTGAAGAAGTCATGCATTTGACATTATGATGAGCTTGTTCCTGGCTCTATGAATTGACGATACAGATGATGATCTTTGAGCATAAGAAAGAAGGTACTATAACCAAAGCAGCCCCAGTAACCAAAGGATGTCATTTAGGGTCCAGATGGGAGTTGGTTCCAGGTCTCCTTTTGGTTTTAGTGACACAGAGCCCAAGAAGGCTAAGGGAACACCCGAGAACTGATTTCTGTTTCATTACACACAAATGAAATGTCTCTTTGAAATTCACACTTAGAGGCATAAACCTTACTCAATTCCTTGTCTGAAACTTATCCCACCAACTCCTGCTCCAAATAGTTTAGTGTGAAGTAGAAACATTGCCAGCAGAACAAAACTGAGATTCAAGAAAGGGAACTAGAGACCATTTCCCCTGGAGTAGATCCACATTGCATTTCACCATGGTGTTTTATGCTGCAAGGTAGCCATAGTTTGCTTCTTCCTGGGCTTTCAAATCCCGACCTGAGAGCTGGAAGCTTTGATCTTCTTGTCCTTGAATTCCTCTTGACATCATGAGAAACTGTCTCATCTCTTCCAGATCTGAATCAGCACACCTCTCTGTTGTTTTATCTGCAATTGCTATTCTGAACATGGGGGAAACTTCAGATGCAAATGCAGAGAGTCCTGTGAACTCAAACAAGGATCCCAAGCAGGGAAGGGATTCCAACTGAGATTTTTTTTAAAAAGTATCACACACACACACACACACACACACACACACACACAGCCAAAGGGGCTCAGCTAGGTTCTAAACAGGAACTGAAGTCTTATGAGCATCAGAGAACCTGACTTGTAACTCATCAGAACAGGACACAGAAGACCCATTAGCTCCCACCAAAAAAAAAAGGGGGGGGGGTGCGTTTGGCAGGCAGGAATTTGGCCCAGTTTGTCGTGAAGTATCCTAAAGCGGGATGTCTGATCACAGACACTTATTCCATCCACAGTGGTGGTTCCAAAAAAAAAAAAAGTCTTTTTATACACACATCCAAGTCTTGTGCTTGCTCCAAAGATTTTCATTCCATGATTGGAGTTGAAGGAGAAGGGAATTTGTGCCCACTTGGGTATGTATCTCATGTCCTTATAAACTAGCCACCTTCTTTAGGCTTCAAATTCTAATACTCATCATTAATTTGGGTTCATCCACAAGCCTTCATCACAGATGTGTCTATTTGAAATCATCCACCCGACCTTGACTTCTTGGGATAGAAGGCAGGTCTGGCAAGGGCCCATAATTTGTTCAAAGCAAACACAGTTGCTGATGTCACTAGCAACTGCTGATCTATACTCAAGCCTTCCAAAATAATGATGTGATGACTGTTTTTAGGTTCTTTACTCCAACAAGAATTTCAGCTATAAAAATTACTAGAGATTAATTCATTCCGAAATCGAATATGATTCATGAATTTAGTCATTCTTCCCTGCTGGAACATCATTAGCCCACTTTTTGAGCATATGCAAAAATATCTCCTCACTTTTCAAGGCAACATCTATCTTAAACCCTGCAACCAGGCCAGTCAGAAACAGGCTGGAAGTCCCGTGTGCTATTAGTTGATGCTCTCTAAACCACCCGTGCCCTTGTTCCTGGGCTCACTGCCTCTGCCTGGACATTGCTTTCCACAATGCAAAGGACACTCTATAGGGCCACCACATATGAGACTTCCAAGCAGGGAGAAAAAGAACAGTTCAGGCTGCTTTACTCTAGGTGACGAAGCCAGGCATTCAGCTTCACTGGAACTGCCAGTCTAAAATTGGTTTGGCCATGTGGCATTCTTTGGATCTTAGTATATCTTTCTTATCCTCCAAAATGTGTCACAATTTGTGGGTTAAATCTCATAAATTGTGTCACTTAGCAATCTTTCTGACAAAATGACATATTTCTAAAACACAAACTGTTTCTTATTTCTGCAGTAATAAAAGCAGAACTCCAATCCAGGAGAAGCTATTAAAACTTAAGCTTCTCATCTCAAAAAAGTATTTTGATTTTTGTGGGGTTTTGTTTTTGTTTTTTTAATTTTAAGTCCCAAGAGCGAATTCACCCATCCCTAAACAAGCATATTCTGCTTTTGGGTGGCCCTACTCAGAACCTGAGGTATGGTCTTGACATTGGACATAAACTAGTGCTTGAGGCAGTATCACATCAACATTGCATCTTATTTATATTCTCTGAATACAGTTGTTTCCCGTGTGCATTGGTGACTCAGATACTGGTACTCACACATCTATTTTATGTATCACACAGAAGTTACCTTCAAAACTGGCAGAGTCAGGCTGGGATTGTAGCTCTGTGGTAGAGCACTTGCCTAGCATGTATGAGGCACTGGGTTTGATTCTTAACACCATATATAAATAAAATAAACGACCACCTACAACTAAAAAACTATTTAAAAAAGAAAACTAGCAGAGTCTTCATCTCTAACATCCCACATTGTCATACCTAATTTATGAAGACTTATGATTTATTTTTAAACTCAGGATGTTGTTTTATAACCCTGCTTGTGTTTTAGAATTTCTTTATACATCATGGTTGGAAATGGTCTCCCTTGCTATGCATTGAAGTGTAAGCCTGGTGGATATGTCTGTGACTATGTGAGTTTTTGTGTGTGTGTGCTTTTGTTTTCATTTTTCTGTTTTTCTGCTTTTCTCTCCCTGGCAAAATCTGTCAGCAGAGACATGAGCAGAGGTTGGGGGAGATAAATAAATCAGGAGAACAGGGATTAGGGTCCAGTCCTCAGAGTACAGGGCTTAATTCAAAATCTCAGCTGTTTCTATAGTAAGTAACCAAAGGGGAAAGGATCCTTCCTTTTGACTTGGATGATAATGAGCTTAGAAATCAGCTTCCACGGGCCTGGGTGGAAGAGGATTCAGCTTCTTTTACTGGTTCAACATCAAATTCCTGAGAAAAGTGCTGACAGCATTAAGTTCCCACATTTCCTCAAGACTCTCATTCCACCTGCATAGGTACTACTGACAGGGGTTGGGAAAGCAACGACAGGTCCTCACCTTGGATATATCAGAGCAGTTTTTTTCTGGAGCAACCAAAGCACTTTAGTGAGTCTTACAACCCGTAATACTTAAGGCATCTTGTCCCTTGCTGGATCCCTGAGTGGCAGGGAAGGGCTGGGGCCAGTAGTTTCATTTGAGAGGCAACTAAAACTAGGAGGAAAGCCTGGAGCCCCAGGAGGAGGTGACCAGGGGCCACGCCTGGTTCATCACTAGCTATGCAACTTGGGTGAGTTGCTTCATTTTGCTGTGAAAGGTTGGGGTCATCATAGCTGTCCTTCTAGGATCGTGTAAAGAGGGAAAACAGTGGCAAAACTGATGGGGGATGGGCTTTGAAGAAATTAAAGCTCTCTTTAGGAGCTGGGGAGAATCATTTCTAGATAAAGAAACTGATGTCAATGGTCATCAATTGGCCCAAGTACACAGAACAGTTTTATAGCAGAACCGGACTTGAGTCCAGGACTTCCTGTTAGATGGTGCTGCACCAGGTGTGTGGACAGGAACACACATCAGTCCTCTGTACTGCTGTGTGTGTACATATGTAGATGCGTGTGTGCAGAAGGTATGTGGCATGGCAGAAGAGCACAGGACAGAAAACCTGAGTTCAGATTCCAGTTTCCACAATAGTCCCATCTATGTACACCTTGTCAACATCTCTGGAACTGTTTTCTAATTTGTAAAATGAGGACATTGTGCTACATGATCTTTGTGGTTCCTTCAAGCCCTGGTTCTATGATTCCATGATTAGTAATGTATGTATGTATATATAAATATGCTTATCTGTAGAAATGGACCCATTTGAAGATTGGAGACAAGGCCTGCCCAAGTGCATTTATTGTGTCAGAAACAGTGAATTCACAAACATATTCAAAAAATTCTTATTTGAAGTCAACGGTGGTATTGAATGTCATTGTTTGAAATTCACTGTTTGGATAGAAGATTGGTGCTGTTTTTAAAATTAAGTTCTTAGCTCATAAGTGTTTGCTGTTAAATTTTTTTTTTTTTAAATAAAGCTCATTTGTTAAGGTCAGAAAATTAACTCTTCAGTACTTGGGCGGGTCCCAGCAGCCTATTTGCAGGCTGGATTTTGTGTATGGGCCTTTATATAGCTCTATAAAAATTAGCTGTTGGCTTGGTCATGATAACTATGAACAGGCTACCTGGAGAACAGTCTGGAACAGAGTGTTACATAGTTCTCACAAACTGGTGACATGAATCCATTGAGCTGTGTGCCATTCCTGTGTGAAGACATTGTTTGCTGGCTACGATCTCTGACTTTTTGTGGCATATGAGGTGTAAAATGTTGTCAAAAAAGAATCTGGTGTTTAAAAGAATCAAACTATGGTGGCATTAAATGTTCACTCTTATTCTACCCAGAGTCACGAATTCTTCTCTCTCCAGTTTATCCTTCTGTACACAGGGTGGGGTGTTCTCATTATAACAACACCTGGGCCTGGGTCTGCCTCCCAGGTCCCTCAGCACTTCCTGGGGTGAGTTCTTTGGGGCTGGCCTCTAACATATTTGGAAACCAGCCATGAGTGGGTGGAGATGTGGCTAAGTCACAGAGCTCCTGGAATTGTCCTTCCCAGAGAGTCAGCCATGGGCTGAACACACATGAAAATGTTGAGAAGCTTAGTGTTGATGTTGTACGTTTTATGTGTTTATTCATTTTTTTAGTGGCCTGTGTCCTTAACCCAGTGTCTCTAGGATTCACACAAAATCAGGGCATTTGCAGTCATTGCAGAGAGTTTGGTCCCGGACACACGGGCCCCTTTTCACATGGATACTTGTCTCAGATGCAACTAAGCACACTCAAGCAAGAAAGCCAAACCAGACTGGGACTGGACAAATGTCCCCTAGGCACCCCCTGCCCCTAAGGACCACCTCTTCCCCTCCACTGTAGACTTATTCCTTCAGCAGTATTGAGGCTTCTTCCTCAATGTTGGTACCACATGCATCTAATCAGCTGAATGCACCACAGTCCCAAAGACAGGGCCAGGTGCCCACCAAAGCAAATACACCCTCTTGCTTCCTAGCAAGGGCCCTGTTCTGAATCCCTCCTTGTCTCCTGCTCTGTGAAGCTCGTTGGCATGCACATCACCCAGGCTTCCTGCCGTCTACTCCCTGAATCCTTGACAAGACCTTCCTGGGCTTTCTTGACATCACAGGAAAAGAAACCTTGAGTTAAAAAGCTGTGATTTCCTCGGGGGAAAACACACCTTCCAGTGGAAGAGCTAATGGAGGTGCTGCCTACTAGATCAGTTCCTCGGAGAAGAGAACATCAGGGCCCCATTTGGAATTGTTTCCAATCCCCTTGCTCCTCCCCACTAAAGCCTGCATCCTTCAGTTCACCCCGGTCTGGCAAGGCCTATAATACCACCCCATCCTCAACTCCCATCAGAGCCTCTGAGGGGACTGGAAGGAGGATACATGTGGCCATCAGAAAGAAGTATCTTATTATTGGGGAAGAAAATTCTCCAAATGTATAGTCTTAGTTGTATTTTTCTCTCAAATTATTAACATTCTCATACTGTACTGATAGTATGTTTTATTTTTCTCAGTCATTTTGATCCTATCCTTTTGTCTCAGGGGACATCAATCAGTCTCTCTATGGTCATTCTGTCTACCTAGGATTGGGAGGACATAAAAAACAAAGCAACACCTTCATCTAGGTGCTGGTCAGGCTATTCCAGCACCCAGACAGACAAAATGCCTCTGTGTCTCAATTTGGGCCTATTGCAGTATAAAATGGCTTTTCTAGTTGAAGGGTATTTCTACCTTATAATTATGCAGAGCACTTGGAGTGTTGGCACATGGACCTGATGGTGGCTAGTATCTCCTAGCACCATAGATGTCTCTTGTTCTTCTACATCCCAGCATCTAAAACTGAGCCTGGAGCAGCTCAACTGGTATTAGCTGAGTGAGTAAATGAAATAAAGAAATCAAGTTTGGAAGAGGAGGCAATAGAGAAACCTGGTCAGAGTCTGCATTTGCCTATCCCCAGGTGGAATGAAGAGGGACCCCAACCAGGGCCAAATCCCAGGCTCTTTGGCCTCCCAAGTTAGTGACCAGCCTTGGCCTTCAGGTCTCCTAAAGCATATTCCTCTTCAAAAGATGAAAAGGCATAGTATTTGTGCACTTGAATTCTACCCACATTTATAAAGCAATTGTTTAACAAATCTTTACTGAGCACCACTTACTCCGCCCCACACACTTCCAGTGGCTGATGAATAAACAAATCCTGGGCTTCAAGAGCTCTGCCCAGCCTGCATACAGCAACCAACTCCAACAGGCAAACGTGCCCCCCACTACAATGCAGGCCGACAGCCTCTTCTGCCAATCCCAACACGCACCCTTCGCCCTCCAATTTGGGCCTTTGGCTAGGCATCGCCTCCTGAAGAGTCTTCTAAGTCATGGGGTTGGGAGGGTAAGGAAGAGGGAGAGAATGAGAGTTGGTCACCTGACTAGGAGAGGTGACCTAGAAGCCACCATGCTGCCACCTGAGGAAGCTGCTGTGGTGTGCCCCGTCCATCTGCATGCAGGGTAACAGTGTGTCGCTTGTTCTTCATTTAAAAAATATTAAAATCGCCCTTGCTTGTTCCATCCTTTATGCTCTTTCCCTTCTCAGTGGGTCTCAGGGTCAAGATATGGACATGACACACCTTGAGCATGCTCAGAAGACAAGTTTAAAAGACTTCACACCAGAAACAGAGTCCCACAGACCCATAAGTTTCCTGACAACCCAGTGAGAGAAATCTTTTTTCCTCATAAATTGAGCTTTGAAAAAATGCAAATACAGGCTGGGAGTATAGCTCAGTTGGTAGAGAGCTTGCCTTGCATGCACAAGGCCCTGGGTTCAATCCCCAGTACCAAAAAGAAAAAAGAAAGAAAAGAAAAAATGCAAATAGCGAGTAAAAATTCCCTTAAATCTCACACCAGAGAGCAGCACTGTTACTGCTTTGTAGACACCCCCACACATGTGCATATATTTTTACAAATTTTTGATGATCTTAAATATGACCCTTTTGGATTCAATTTTCTCTTAATATTCCCACCATGTACATTATTTTTCCAGTCAGAACACGTGCTGTGACAACATGACTTCAGTGCCTGCAGACTATTCTGTCACGTAGACTGAATGCCATTTATGTGCTGCTGTTCCCTGCTACTGGACCTTAAGATTGCTTCTACTTTTTCACTATTCTCAATTACCCTGTAATAAACATGTGGAACATAAATCTCTCTCTCTCTCTCTCTTTTTTTCCCTCTGACATATCCCCAAGGATAAATTCCTAGATGTGAAATAGCTGTAACAGGAGGAGTAAAACATTATAAGGCATTTCACACACATTGAGTGATCACACTGTAAATCGTCCAACCCGAACTATGATGAGAAGCCTTCCCTGATGGCCCTAGATAGAGTCATCTCTTCCTCTCTCAACTTCTGTTTCCACTGATTCACTATATATTTGTTCACAAGTGCACATCAAGGAGCTCCCACATCGGACAGTGCTCCTGTAATAAGGTGCATCAAGTTCTTTGTATATATATCTCTATCTCTAAATATTAGGTTTCTGGAGGCCAGAGGTTAGGGTTAGGGTCTCTGGCTCTCCATGGGTAGCTCAATACTGGGCATACAATTGGGTTAAAATATAGAATGTTTATGAAAAGCTGTCAAAAGAGGGGAAATATTGGGCTGGGATTGTGGCTCACTGGTAGAGCACTTGGCTAGCACGTGTGAGACACTGGGTTTGATTCTCAGAACCACATATAAATAAATAAATAAATAAAGGTCCATTGACAACTTAAAAATATTTTTTTAAAAAAGAAGAGGAATGTTATATACAGAATAAGTATGTATCTTAGAAATACTCTATGGGGATTCAGACTCACATCTCAACTCTTTCTGAGAACTCATGGTGGAAGACTCCTGATGCCTGGGTACTGCTTTGAGAACTGGAACTTCAGTTAGCTTTGAGGGTCTCTGAGCATCTCTGGGCTCCAATCCCTCCCTTGTGTAAGAAAAGCAAAGCCCAGACTGCCTCACTTAGTTTCCCTTGGGCTGCTTCTAAGGATGAAAGAAGCCCATATGAGGAAGTGTGTCATAACCTGGTAAATACTCAACAGATGTAAGAGGTCAGTGCTTCTGTCTGTTTGGGGCTTCTATAACAGAATACCACCAGGTGGGTAATTTATAAACAGTAGCAGTATATTTGGCTCATGGTCTTGGAGGCTGGAAGTCCAACAGCATGGCATTAATATGTGGGGAGAATTATTGCATGGTGGAAGGCAGAAAGGCAATGAATACAAGCAAGACAGAGAGGCCTAAAGCCAGTAAGAGGTAATGGCTTTAGTACACAATGACCTGAACACCTCTGTTGCAGTCAGATTTTTTTGCAGCTGTGACCAAAAGTCCAACTAGAACAATTTTAGAGGAGATAAGTTTATTTGGGGGCTCACAGTTTTCAGAGGTCTTAGACCATAGACAACTGGCTCCATTGCTCTGGCCCCTAGGTGAAGTGGCAGAAGAGTGGTGGAGGAGAGCAGGTCAGGACATGGCCACAAAGAAGCAGAGCAAGACTCCACTCACCAGGGACAAAATATAAACCCACAACTCCCAAAGACCAACCTTCTCCAGCCACACCCTACCTGCTTTCACTTAGCACTCAGTTAATTTTTATCAGGGAATTAATGCACACATTATGTTAAAGCTCTCATAACCCAATCATTTACCTCTAAACCTTCTTATATTGTCTCATACATGGGCTTTTGGGGGACACCTCATATCCAAACCATAACATCCTGCCCCTGGTCCCCCAAAAGCTCATGCCCATCTCACAATGCAAAATATGTTTAGTTTATTTCCAAGAGTCCCCATAGTCTCAACAGTTCCAGGATTTCCCAAAAGTACAAATCCAAAGTCTACTCTGAGACTCAGGGCAAATTCTCAGCATGAACCCATGTAAAAACTCATGTCTTCCTTAGCCCCAGTTTTATTCAAAGTTTTCTTGCCAAACTTCAAGTTTTAAAAAACCTTAAGCTTTGTTTTCTCCGCCTCACTATTGCAAGTTATATATATATCCAATATATAAAGGTACAGAGTAACATTTCCACTCCAAAAGGAATATATAGGGGCATAGAAAAAGGAGGGAACCAAAGCAGGACCAAAATCCCGCTGGGCAAGCAAGTCCTGTAGCTGCACATCCAGCATCTGGTCACATGGCATCCTGATGTTCTCTCTCAGGGTTTGTGTAGCTCCATTCCTATGGCTTTTCTGGTTGCAGCCCACATGGCCTCTCTTTGGGCTTGTCTCTGATTGATTTCTGCAGCTTTCTTTGGCAGATGTCCCATGGTGCTGCTGGCATTTCTTAA